CCTTGTTGTCCTGTCCAGCTCCCGAACACAAGTTTCTTCTCACCTGGACCGCCTGTCGCTCATACAGAGACATCTGAGAAATCTGTGGGCGAGTACTTCCTCCAGACCCTGAACTCCCATTGGTGGAGCTGGAGGAGTTCTGCTCACTTTCAGTCTCCATGGTAACAGGTCCCAGGGAACTCACACTGAGGGAACTGACTCAAGGCCTAAGTCAAAGAGAATGAAAAACTCAGTTGCACAAAAGCAGAGGTTCCCAAACTTTTTCTTATTGCGTCCCCCCTTCCAGACTTACCAGATGCCCATGTACTCCTACTAGCATGTTTTATATTTTAACTCCTTAAATATCCCATTAGTATTATAATGAAATTAAATCTGCCATTACACAATTTTTCCCACATACCCCCAGAGGTGTCTTGTGTACCCCCAGGGATACACATACCACAGTTTGGAAACCCCTGAACTAAGGAAAGAACCAAACTTTTGCTCCACTGTATTGTTGATGGCTTTTTAACTTGAAGCTAGTCCTGGGCTCCCCTACCAGTACCCCTCTGTGCTGCCCTGCAGACCCCCAGGCTAGACCCATCATTTAACCTAACATATGGTCATCATTTATCATCACAATTATAAACAAAATGCATGCAATGAAAGTTACTTGGCCACACCTGGGGTCTTATAAAGGCATGACAGTGAAGTACCAGCTATATACTATTCAGGGAATTATACAGTTACAGAAAAAACTGAGTTAGTTTAAAATGCAGAGAACTGGGAAGTAGCACAGTGTGCAACTTGTCATCCATCTCCCTCCTCGCAGTTCCTGAACCTTTTCTCCCCAATCCAACAAATCTAACTTCTAGCTCCATCTTCCTGCTAGTCAATCTGGCTAATGCATCCCCTTCCTGCTCAGCCTGTCACACTGATTGACAGAGTGTTTATGGACTGTTAGACTGAGACCTGGCAGCCAGGCAGAAAGTTGTGCTAAGACAGCACCGTGAGGGCCAAGAATTTTGGGCAGGTGAGGAACGACCAACAGGAATGAACTGGGTCACTTGGGAAATGTGTGTCAGAGCAAGGGGACCAGAGGTTTTCCAACTTTCCCTTGGTGGAGCCCAACTTTCCAGCAGCAGAAAGACAGAGGTTGGTGAAAGACTGGACAAAGGCAGATGAAGCTGGAAGCCCTTGTCCATGTGATCAGGACTGGTTTCTGGCAAAAAGTTAGATGTGCTGGGAAATACCAGCAGGGTCTGTTGGCAATAAAAAATGAAGGCTACAAATGGAAAGCAATACAGACGAATCAGAGAAGGGCAAGGACAGTGCTGGTTCGAAATTCTCTCAAATCTGCAAAATGCCAATTTTTCATTTATTTTTAACAAAACCGTGATGGGAAACAGGTCTCATTGAACAGGTCTTGCAGCAGACATAGGCTGGAAACCTGGCCAATTTCCTGAAATTGAGCAGAAACCTGCTCAATTTCTCTGCACCCTGCCTAGAAGAGCACCTACAATCAGGACTCCAGGATTACCAACTACCCACAGCACCAGAGCAGTCCCATCATGCAGGTTTCCCTATGGATTAGACTGCCTCCAATTCTTGGGCACCCTGGCCCCAGAGCTGTCTTCACAAGCTATGGACAATGGAAGGCACGAAGCCCCAAACTGGAGCTGGCGGCAAGGCAGGGTTGTCATGGAACAAGCCACCCCGGAGTATCTGACACCTACTAACTGAAATGAAAATAATTCCTATCAGTTGTGCTGTTGCCCACTGTCAATTATTAGTAGTTTCAAATGACAGTACAAAGTTGACAACATCTCAATTTCAGCTGGCAGCTGCCAGTGAACCCCTAGAGCATATTTCATTTCAGATGCCTGATATTTCCAAAACAAAATATTGTAGGATTTCTGCAAAAACAAAATCCACATTTCTGTTTTTCACTCTCCCTTGGGATGAAATGTTTCCTCAGCACTCAAAGAGTCATCCTAAATAGAAATCCAATTCCCTAGCCTCATCTAATTAGGAATCAATGCAGTCCCGCATCACCTGATCTCAGCAGTTCCTGATCTATAGTCTAATGGCCCCTGTGGAACACAGAATGCATAATTACAGGATATCCCCCTTCAACACAACATGCATAGTAGCTACATGGGCTGCATAAGCACCACATACTAGGTAGCCTATACCACAGGCCTGTAGCTTTTTCTGAACAACTGCAGCACCTTGAGACCGAACCAAAATTTGAAAACTGAACAAAGGGGTGGACATCAGAGGGAAGGTGGCTCCAAATAACTCACTTGCTTGCCAAGTCAGTAACAGAGGCAAAGCTTGCAAGCTCCAATCCTACAGATCCAGCCCAAGATTTTTAACAATGAAAACACCCTCTTCCCCACCAGCTATTACACAAAAACAGCCTTATTATAAATTCAGCAAACAGGCAACTCAGTCACATCCCAGCCATGAGTTTTAAAATCTAGGATGCTTGCTTGCAGACTGCTTCCTGCCCCAGCTACAGTATAACATTATTATTTAGATTTCAGCTGGCTGAACTAGTAAGCTGCTCCCTAGTTTTAAGAATAAATTAGTAACTAGCACCTCCCCTGCTCCCCATCTACTGGCCTGCATTCCCCCTGCCATTCCAGCTGCAAAGCCTAATTTAAATGACCACTGATGCCTTCCTGAAGGACTCTTTTAAACACAGCCAGAATACCTAATCAATAAATCTAGCTAAAAGTCAAAGCTCTAGAAAAAACTATTCTATTCTGTTGAAAATTTCCTCAAGGTTGCAGCTGTATGAAATATAAAAAATAAATCAAGATTGAAAATACGTGACATGGAGTAGATCTGAAGGAAGAGAATCTGGATTTTTATACCAAAAGAAACTAAGGCACAGATACAAAGTAATTCACACAGGGTTAGAAGATAAATCAGCAGCAGTGCTAGAAACAAGCAGCAAGTGTTCTAGTGCTCTGTTAGTAACCTGCTGCTGTTTAATTTGGGTTTCTTGTGTTCTTAGGGAAGGCTCACATGGACTACAATGGGAGCTAGACTGAGTCCCTTTCACATATAAAAACCTCCGTGAAATACAGCCTCTTCCAAGGTGAAGGAACGACAATAAATTATTGTTCACTACATTTGGCAGAAGGTATTTCTGGTCAAGGGCCTAGGAAGAAAAGGGGGTACAAACCTTCACTTTTCAGAAGTGCCACACTTTTGCATTCACACACAAAGGGTCTAGACAGACATAACATTTGAAATATTTTACAGATGCAACAGGGTTTGAAATGTTTAAACACACGGAGTATTTCAGCCACAAGCTGATGTACAGCAACATGCTGTGGCCTCTACGATAAAGTGCTTTAAAAAGAAGGAGAAAAAAGAAAAGGGGGCGAAAAGGGGCAGGAAAGGAAGAGAAGAAAAAAAAAAAAAAAAAAAAAAAAAAAAAAA